TCCCATTGAAAATAAACACAGGTTATGCACATTAACATTATAATGAGGTAAATTAGTGTTGTCAACAGAGTGTCATGATGTGTATGAAACGAGTCATGGTGAAAAAGCACACAAGTGTTGACGGAAGACCAAAATGATAGGTATCACCACCAACAACCAATTTGGTAGTAGTCATATTGCCGAAAATATTAGATCTTGTTGTCTGTATATATGCAGCAACAATAAAATGTACAAAACCAGTAGTTAACTGTTTACAACATTGTACAAGACAGTATTATAGACCCATATCATGCAAAATTACAGGGTGTCGTACAAATATACCCCCTTACTTTTAGGGTATTGTATGTTCATGCAACTGTCCATTCAGAATGAATCGAAAATAAAATAGGTACAAAGAGACTATATCAAATATAATTGTACTTCATATGAATATCATTGATCTTATCAATCCCATCAGACTGATATAACTCGTAAAAGTAATGAATTTAACGCATGGCAATGTGCCATCTGACATATAACCCAAGTAATTGACCATGTGCAAAAACAGCATTGTTGGTTTGCATAAGACAGCCCACACACATGCTATAAGGAGTAAAATCCTGGTATCACCAATGACAGGGCTGTAAATGAGTCAACATCAAACCAGAAACATAGAATGTAAATGCATGGACCTGTTTGTACAGAATACCAGTTTATCCCTCATTATTTATGTGGACCATGTTGAAAAGATCTCAAACCATTATAAGGCCAATGAAAAACAAATTTGGTGTTCCCAGTATTAGGCTAAAAAATATTGGGTAGTTAGGCAGGGATTTTATTATTTTAGATTTATTTTTTCCCCAACATGTTCAGTCTACATCAAATACAATCGTTTTAAACAATTGTTTTTTTTACATGATTGTTTATTTTAGAAAAAGGTAACTCATTTCATAAAATTTGGCCTTATTAACAAATGACAACACATGTAATTGTTTAAGGTTGAGATTAGAGGCATGAACTGTTGATCGATGGCGCCATTTCAAGAATGGCAGCTGGTGACAGCAAAACTTTCACTGATGTACATGTGTATGTAGACATGAGCACAAGGAATTGGCCCCTATCAGTTTCTGCCTAATGACTGTTATGTACATTCCTGCTGTGGCCATTTACAATGTACCTACAATAGCAGCATTTTTGATGTACACATTGCAGCTCTTGCTGTTTCTTGCATGTGACAAAAATCCGCCTAAATCACAAGAAAATTGTAGTGGGCAAAACAATGGTCATGAAAAAGTAAGAATGGGTACAGCCAGCCATGCCAATGTGGTGAATGAAATGCAATTCCTTGCATGACTTTCTGCTCAATATTATACAGTGTGTGGTAGCCTATATAATCAATGGCGTGGTCACAAATGATTAATCATGATCACATACTTCATAGACACTATAATATTACATTAATGGGCAAAGACTATAAATCATATCCATGCCCTAGACATGGCTACATCCGAGGTAATCATTTTGCCAATGCCATTCTTGCAATTTCATTATTGCTGGCTGCATAGACCAGACTAATGTACAAGTATTTACACATATCGGCCTTATTTTGGTTTTAGATGCTATTTTATTGAGATGCATCGTGACAACTGTGTGGCGTGAAGGACCGCTAGGTTAGGTAATTGTTACTAGTCGTACCGTGCATGTGCACATTGCACAAATCATACGAGTTTACAGGCCATAAGCCTAGTAAATCGCTGTCATCATTTATGTACGATGCAATATTTGGCGATTTATTTTTGGCCATTAGATTCCCTGGATTCATGACATCATGTGCCAATAAATCCTGAAAATCGGCTTTGCTAAGCGATGAGTCGTTTATTCAAAACACTCAATGATCATAGCATGGTGTGCAGAGTTTTAGAGATAAAGCAATTGTTAAGAATATATTAAAATCTGTGGAAAAGGGCAAGAGCTCTTACCTTCTATTAGTGCAATGTTTGTACGGCGTCCTGGGCTGGCTAGAAAA